TGTGAGGATAAATTGGGATAATGTGTGAAGGATTAGTGTGAGAATCTGTTGGGATAATGAGTGAAGGATTAGTGTGAGGATATGTTGGGATAATGTGTGAAGGATTAGTGTGAGAATCTATTGGGATAATGAGTGAAGGATTAGTGTGAGACTCTATTGGGATAATGAATGAAGGATTAGTGTGAGAATCTGTTGGGATAATGAGTGAAGGATTAGTGTGAGGATATGTTGGGATAATGTGTGAAGGATTAGTGTGAGGATATGTTGGGATAATGTGTGAAGGAGTATTACGCAGACATGTAGAGATAACATGTAAAGTCTGTAGGATTCCCTGGCAGATGAGGGGCTCAGTAAATGTAAGTTTTCTCCCCTGCTTCCTGGATGGAAGGGGATTCAAAGACCAGGCTCCTTCACAGCCCTGTTACCAATGCATACATGTGCAACTCCCTAAGTTCTCTGACCTCTAGAATCCCAACTGCCCAAAGCGCTCTCACCTCTCTAACCCCTTGACAACCCTGATGTTGTTGTTGTTATGTGCTGTGGAGTCGGTTCCGATTCATAGCCACCCTGTACAGGGTTTCTGAGGCTGTAAATCTTTACGGGAGCAGAAAGCCTCATCTTTCTCCCACGGAACAACTGATAGTGTCAAACTGCTGACCTTGCGGTTCGCAGCCCAATTCATAACTACTACGCTACCAGAGCTCCTTTTACAACCCCAATAAGTCCCCAAAAGTCACCCTCGCATCCCATTCTTTTTTTGATGAATGGGCAAATAAGGCACCCAGAGACCACGTGCTGGCCTGTGTGATATGCTATGCTGGCCCAAACCCCAGCTGCTCCCTGAACAAGGTCTCCTTTCCCTGGCCCCTATAGTTTCTGAGCTTGAATCACTTGCTTTGAGACCAAGGAATGAACCAGTCTGAAGGCTGGAGGCCTCACAATGCATCATTGTGTCTCTCTGGCCATAAGCCTTCTCTAAATTACAATAATCATCACTCTCTAATAATCCCTGGGAGTTCGTACTGAAGGTGCTAATTTGATGTAGTAATGCATACTCCTCTTGAAAATGCCCTTTTAGGACGAGGTAAGTAAACAGGACAAAGTTGTTCATGTTCCCTAGTCTTGTTTATATTTCACTTGTTATATTAAGTCATGAATCTAAGCACCTTGAGACATTGGCACAGTTCATTCAGTCCTTGAAAAAAATGGAAGAACATCATGTACAGCTCATTGGGAGAAGAATGAACTACATCAAAATGAAAATACATCATTTCAAAATTTGTGAGCTACAACTAAAGCAGCACTGAGAGAGAATTTATTAGCACTAAATGCATAGATTAGAAAAGAGAATATGTCTCAATTAATAATCTAGCACCTCAAGAACCTAGAAAAAGAAGAGCAAAATAAATTCAAAGGAAGACGTCACACAGAACAGAAAACAGTGAAATTAAAAACAGAAAAACAAACAAAATTAATCAGCAAAGAGCTGATTAAAATTGAGACACACCTAACAAAACTGACAAAGAAAAAGCACAGAAGACATAAATTACCAGTATCAGGAACAAAATAAGATTGATCACTACAAACCTGTAGACATCAAAAAAATAATAATGGAAGGAGCTCTGTTAGCATAGTGGTTACAAGTCAGGCTGCTAACCTTAAGGTCAGCAGTTCGAAACTACCAGCTGTTCCACAGGAGAAAGATGATGCTTTCTGCTCCCGTAAAGATTTACAGCCTCAGAAACCCTGTACAGGGTTGCTATGAGTCAGAACCGATTCCACGGCACATCACAACAACAACAATAACTATTAATACAATTTAATTCTTAATTTTTAGACTGAAAAAAAAAAACTCCAGTCCCAGATGGTTTCACTACCAAACAATTAAAGAGGAGCAAACACCAATACCACATAATTAAAAAATAGAAGGAGATGGAATACTTACCAATTCATTTTAAGAAGCAAATATCAAATTATCCTGATACCAAAACCAGACAAAGATTATACAAAAAACAAAATCACAAACAAATATTCCTCATTAAAATAAACAGCTATCCTTTAAAAAATATCAGCAAATAGAATGTAACATTATAATAAGCATTATATACAATGACCAAATGGGGTTTATTCCAGGCATACAAGCCTGGACATCAATCAGTGTAATCACATGATCATTTCAACTGATGCAGAAAAAGCTATTATAAAACTTCACCATCCTTTCGTGATAAAACTCCCAAAAAATCAGAACCGAGGGAACTTTCACAACTTGATAAAGAGCATCTACCAAAAAAATAATAATAAGCTATAGTTAGCCTTATACTTGGGAGTACAGTGGTTCTGTAGAATAAGCTCTGAACTTTGAACCACAAGGTTGACAGTTCAAACTCTCCTGTTCTGCAGGAGAAAGATAAGTTTTCTGCTCTTAAAAAAACTTACAGTCTTGGAAACCCTATACAGGGTCATTGAGAGAACCGACTCTACAGCACTTAATAACAATAACAAAGCTTTATGTTTTCATTTAATCAGGAAAGATAGAATCATGTCCTCTATAATTGTGAAATACGCAAAGATACCCACACTTACCACTTTTATTCAACATAGTGCAAGAAGTTTTAACAAGTGCAATAAGGCAAGAAAAAGGAAATAAAAGGCATGTGGAGCTGAAAGAAATCAATGAAACTGTATCTATTTGCAGTTGACATAATTCCCTTTGTAGAAAACCTCCAAGAATCTACCAAAAAATTCTCCTAGAACTAATAAGGACTTCTGGTGTGAGGCTGTAGAATCAGTACTGGAGTGTGAGTCACGAGCAATTCAAGCCCACCAGCTGCTCCTCAGAAACTTTATACAGGGTCTTTGAGTTGGCACTTATCAACAACAACAACAACAACAACAGAACTAATAAGCGAGTTTAGCTAGATCATAGGATGCAAGATAAACATACAAAACTCAATTGTATTTCTATATAATAGCAATGAACACAACTGTTTGAGTGCACTAGAAGCACTCAACAGTCTTTGCCAAGAAATTTGGAAGACAGCTACCTGGCCAATCAACTAAAAGATCCATATCTGTGTCTATTACAAAGAAGGATGATCCTACAAAATGTAGAAATTATCAAACAATATTATTAATATCACATGCAAGTAAAGTTTTACTGATGATAACTTAGAAGCGATTGAAGCTGGACATGCTAGAAATTCAAGTTGGATTCAGAAGAGAACAGGAATGAGGAATATCATTGTTGACCTCAGATGGATCTTGTCTGAAAGCAAAGAATACCGGAAGATGTTTACTTGTGTTTTATTGATAATGCAAAGGTATTCAATTGTCTGGATCACGACAAACTACGAATAAACATTGGAAAGAATGAGAGTTCCAGAGCACTTAATTGTACTCACACAGAACCTGTGCATAGATCAAGAGGCAGAAGTTCAAACAAAACAAGGGGACACTACCTGGTTTAAAATCAGGAAAGGTATACGGCAAGATTGTATCTTT